GCGTTATCTAAAAAGTGAGTCGGACTTTTGCGGCTGTACAATGCAATTGTAATTCTATTCCGGAATGGAATCCTACATAAAGTAGGTATGAACCTTTTTTTATATATCATAAAGTTAGCAAAAATACATGCAGTAGACATACACGACTTTTACATTAAAGGAATAATACATACAGTACTCGTAAACGACTTTAACATTCACAGAATGTGACACAAACAGTAGACATAAAAGACTTTCATATTGACGGAATGATACATGCAGTAGACTGTAACGGTTTTAACATGAACTTAGATAATAAAGTTAGTACGCTTTGTTGTTTGAAAACGTATTAGAAACGTGTATTGATTCCATATCGATTTTCAGGGTGAGGACTTAAAACAGATTATGTTTTTATGGTTTCAGGGAAATGTCACTTTGTCAACAAAAACATCTAAATGCCATTTGAAATCACTGTTATAGTATACATGTAGTTTATGATATATACTAGTTTTAGTCTAGTAAGAGACTTCATTTCTATTCGAGGCTGAAGGAGAAGCGTTGAAATTAGACTCATCCAATTACATTCGTATCAATATAATTACTGCAAGAATGGTTAGGAACGCGGTGTCATTTTAAAGCGTCTCCTGTCGCCTCGAATAAAGTGTGACAATAGCACGAAGCCTATATACGTAGGTGACATGCATGTTGCTTGCACTGACGATTCAGAAACTTTGTACTGCAAATATTACAGAATTTTTATATGTAGATAACTTATTATTTATAAAAGAATTTATTTATGCTATTGAACGCAGATCGATTCATTCATAGTTCACGTAAACCTCGAACAGGCTTGATGCATTATGGCCTTAACTAACCGACTTGCACTCGTGCCGACATGATCGTTTTTAACATTTTGCTCAGTCCCTATTCTGCAATCATTAGTTCTTCTACAATGTGGTATTGTTTATGGAAGGATTGTAGTTGCAATGTTAATAGACAAATATAGCCCTGTGAAAGTAACATGGCAGACTTTTCTGGTAGTGTTTAATACAGGCATTGGTATTGCAAATATACATGTATCACAGGTACCTCGTCTGTCAATATACCAATAATATAAACGGCTAAATTATAGGTATATTATCAGACGAGGCCAGTCCATATCCATGATTAAAATACATGAATGTCTTTATTTTTTCTCTCTCCAGTCTTGTCTTGAAAAAGTACTCCTTTCGGCCTGATTATAATCGGAACAATTTAGGTTAAGTGACAACCATGGATAAATCAGCGAATCAGGACAGAAACGTAGACACAAATTAATCTAATGTTATATTAGAGGAAATATAAAGACAAAAACCAACACATCTCCAGGGACTCCTTTAATTTGAACAAGGATAAAAACAGAAAATGGATTAAAAATCTACGCTGTAAAACCATTGAAAACTACAATCAGTTCAAGATGGCTATGAAGATGGCAACAAGCTTAAGGGCAATTCGTAAAGCAACCCTTAAAACATCAAAGACGAACCAAAACTTTTCTGGAGATACGTCAGCGACAAAACCAACAACAGAGGAAAACGTCAAAAAAGAAACTGATTCCACCAGGGAACTTACTACATCCCGAGATATGGAAACTGCTGAAGCTATGAATCAATATTATGATAGTATGTTTTTTAAGGACAACAATAAGAATCAACCAGAGGCTTTTGAAGCAATAATTCATCATCACAGAGGGAACGGTGGAGAAATCACCATAAACAAAGTTAATCCTAACAAAGCACCAGGACCAGATTGGCGCCATTCTAAGCTGTTTGAATCTACAAAAGAAAAAGTTTAAAAAAAAACACATATATTTATTAAGTAAAAGTTTAGAAGAACGACAGCTACCGCCTGACTGGAAAACATCTAATAGATAGAGAATAATACATGCCTTTTTCCATATCACACCCAGTATCACCCCGAGACTACAATATCAGCCCAAGGGCCGAGGGCCCGCGGGCTGATATTGGTCGAGGGTTGATACTGGGTATGATATAGAAAAAGGCGTGTTTTATTCTGTTTATTACATACTTACTAATAAAAACTACTATCTTATGATTTATTTTCATTTTTGAAATATTGAAAAACGATTTTTTTTCCAACTGGGGGGTGATATGGGTTTTGCGGGCTGATATGGGTTTTGGGGTGTGATACGGCGAGGGCTGATATGGGTTAGAGCAATTGTGTCGTATCGCATATACAAAAAACCCGTATTTATTAGTAAGTATGTAATAAAAGTCAATATTAAAATATAGAGAACAAGAAAGACCTGGGTAACTATACAGACTAAACAGCCTGGCATAACTATACAGACTAAACAGCCTGGCATCTGTACCGTGCATCATCATGTAAAGAATAACAAGAGACCACATGTTCGACCGTATGGAGCGAAATAAGCTATATACAGAGTGCCAACATTGTTTTAGCCTGGGTAGATCCCGTACCACACAGCTGTTGGAAGTTCTAGAGGACTGGATAATGGGCATGGAAAGGGGGGATACCATAGATATAGTTCACCTAGATTTCTTCAAGGCATTCGATAAAGTATCCCATAGACGTCTCATATACAAACTAGAGAAGTATGGAATCAAAGGAAATTTATAAAATTGGATGAAACAGTTCTTGATAGGCTCAACACAACACGAGTAGGGGAGTGTAATTGGACCAATTATATGTATCATATATATATGTCAACGATACGCCTGATGTTATGAAATAATTAACAATATGTTTGCTGACGATACAAAGTATATTCATCAATACCAAATCGTGAGGATCAGGTAGCACTACAATTTGATATCGATAGAATTGAACACACCAAAAAAAAATTAATTGAACTGGGCCTTTTTCGTTTAAACGGTCAAACCGGTCGGACCACAGTTGTTCGTTTATTAAATAAGGTCGGACCTAGTAATCTAATGCTGCGTTCAGGCGAGCCTTGAAAAAGCCTTCATGGCCTGCATAAACATTTGCATGTCCGCCAGGATTTATACCTGAAATTGTTACATATAAAAACGGACAAATCGGTTATTCCGCATAAACGACCAGGCTGGGGATTTATATCCAATCTGCAAACTGTGATATGCGTGTATTATCTGCCCTTACCGGAACCGGGTTTACAACGTACGATAACGTTATACAGAACTGTGACGTTATGTTATGCCGTCCCGAAATTGTGGGCCAGCTGCAACCACTGAATAGGGCATTGATGTTTGGTCCTGTTTTATTGATAAAATTACACAAAGTCGCCGTCTGAAAATCAGAGAAATAATGCCACAAATGCATAATGTATGTAGAGTTACCCCCAAATGGCCTCTCAATGAAAATGACTCGGCTGACGCTGAGTCCGCGAGTATCCGAACGAATGGGGATTTCCAATTTTGTGTTTGTTTATATTGCGCAATATCACCTTAATGTTACTGTGAAGTATTAAGGTGTATATGTTGGTTTTCTTGGTAACAACTAAATAAGAAAATAGAACAGCATAATGGATAATTCTATATGTAGAATGGGTAATTGTGTAATAAAGTATTTGGTGTACAAATGTAAGTTTGTTTCGTTTGTATTTTGTGATTGGCAAATTTGCTTCGCCCTCTGTCAATGGTTTATCAACTGTTGTGAGTTTCGAGGCTCAAGTTTTGGTAGGTTTATTATGTTTTTGTTGGTTATATCACGGAATTATCTAAGTCCGTCGTTATATGTTGACATGTAACTATATCAAGGGCAACGTATCCTACATGTTTAATTAAGTAGTCCTAATAATAATTGACTGCATGAAACATCTGCGTAGATGTAAACAAACCCACCTCCAACGTAGCACTCGATTGAGTCAGATACTGTAGACTATAATTAGGTAAGTTACATAAATAGGCCCAGTGACTAGGACCTATGCAGTAAGTATGAAAAGTAACAGATTTAATTATCTACTGACAAGCTGTAGTATAATGTGAATATCTTATGGTACTAGCCTATGTTTTGCTCATCTTATATTATCCTATCCACCATCCTACTGTGCTAATTCCATTTTCCCTGAATAAACGTTATTAATAGTTCTTAGAAGTTTTGTTTTCATTGTACATGTATGTAGTAATTAAAAGTTCTAATTTTTCAACTAATATCAATCGTAACGACTGTAATTGTAAATATCAGCTTGTCACATAATGTTGCATATATATATATGTTTAACGGCAGGGGCTCGTTACAAATGTCTGAAACACATGCTATACTGATATAGGTCACATAAACATACATATGTTTATGTGTGCTATGACCCATATCAGTATAGCATATATGTGTTATGTGTGCTGTGACCCATATCATTATAGCATGTGTATTAGACATCAAACGAACCCCTATCGTTTAACCATGGAATAAGATAACATTTGCTATTTAATTATAAGTCTGTGTAGGTTTGTCACTTCACTCAATGAATTAATTTTATCTTTCAATTGTCTGATAATGACATATCATGTCCATGTCATATTTGATAGTATATATATATATATACTAAGCTGTATGTATAAAAAATTGAGAATAACCAATTCTTTATTTAGGTTATTTCTGATGGTGATGCAATGAGACATAGCTCATATATATATCACTATTTATGTATGAACAGTCAGTGGTGGTTTCAAATGTAAGTGTATTTACTAGTGCAGATTGTTCTTACTGTACATCTGACTACCATACATGCTGTGCCTAAATTGTCCTGTTGGTGTGGATTAGTGTAAAGGATGAACATTGTACATTCAATTCAAGATATTTGATTGATTCAAACTAGGGCATTGTATATATTGTTACAGTCACTTCGCTAGATTCAGCTAGAGGGAGCTTCCCTATACATGATATAGCTCCAGTAGTAGAGTATCTGACCGTAGGGTTGGGGGTCAGTGGTTTAATCCACAGTGAAGTAATATAATCTTTTCACAACTTGCTTCCTTTACACCAGTAAGATATTCTTGATAACACCATACGTTGTGTTTCAGGTAATGACTTGGTATAATGTTTGAGCTGACATACAATGTCGAATCATGTACAAGTACAAGTATGTGACAGTTCAGGAGTCAATACCGACACATGTAGAGCAGAGGTGGAACAACTGCGAGCAGCAAAGAAAACATTGGAAGGAAAAATACAAGGCTACAACTTTCTAGGTAATACTCTGTTTATCATGTTTTTCAGACAAAGTTTGAAACACAGTAACTATTTGCAAGAATATTTTACATTTATTACTTAACTGAAAAAAAACCCTACTTATAGCAATCTGCTTATAGTGATAAGCTTTTAATTTGTTTTGCTTTCTTCATTGTAGGAAACAGACTCAGAGAAAAAGATGAAGAGTGTCGACAGTTAAAGCAAAAGTTAGCAGAAGTTGCCCAAAATAATCTTTCAAAGACAGATGGTCGTTCTGTTTCCCCCGAAAATGATTATGTTTTAACCTCAAATAAGGTAAGCCCAGTAAAAATACATGGCCTGACTGGGATTTGAACCTGGGACCTCCAAATATTTGATGGGCGCTCTACCAATTGAACTACCTGCAGGTCACTAGGGAAAGACCCAGTACAGTTTTGCTACCATCCTCCCTCTTTTTCTAACTCTTTGCCATTGAAGACATCAATTTTTACAACAAAGGTTCAGGTATCCCCTTGCCAAGCACTCACCCAGTACTTGAAACAAGGTTTGGACATGTAATACGAGAGGAAAATGCATGTCCGGACCAGGATTTGAACCGGGGACTCTCTGTACTGATAAGATGACAGCATTTGACACTTTGATTGGATGACAGCTTCCTTACATTCATGTCATAAAATTTGACTGGATTCTATTAAAACTCGGACAACATTTATACTAAACAAAGAGAAAGGCTGACATCATATTTGAGCAAAATCTACTCTTATTCAATAGCACACTGCTATTTCATTGGTTGATTGGTAGATATTTGAATTAAAAGGTAGGGAACTTAATGAAATTTAGATAAGTTTTTATACAGGACATTGAGTAAAGGTACACACCTTACCGTTATATCTTATTAAACATGGCCAGAATATACCATTCACAAATGTAATGCAATGCAATTCTTTAGTTCCAAAACTTTTTATTTACGATTATTTGGTTGGAAATGTTGTTACCACCTATACTTCAAGAATTAATTTTCCACAAGAATTGTTTTTATATTTTTATGTTCTATGTGTAGCCCTGATACAATTCTAGACATTTGCTACAGATGCTACTAGGAGGCATTGTTCTTTAGCTTACCAGACTTGTAAGAAAGCAGTCTGGGGGTTGATCCTTACCAATGGCATTGACCTCTGCAACATATTTGTTTTTTAATTCATTATCACAGAAGTAACCAAAAGAAATTGAAATTGCCAATGTATAAACAGAACAACAATTGTGCAGAACAAAGTCTTTGTTACGAGAGGAAACATAGGAGGAAAACTCAAAGGGAATATATCTCCTGGTATAGCCATACTTTTCATACAGTATATATGTCTATATCAACATGTCACGGTAGTGTTGAAGTGGTTGTAAATACATTTCAAGAAAAAATATATAGAATTTTGAAAACAGGGAATGATCATCTGCATTTAAAATCCATAGCCTCACTAACACAACAAGAAATAAGACTACTACTTCATTATGAAATTGAAATCATCAAAGCAGAAAAAGATGAAAAGTGACAAGTTAAAAAAAATGTCCCATAAAGATTTAAAAAAAATGTTTTCGGTATTGAACCAGCAGCCTCAGTGTTACTGAGCCTAACCTGAATCACAATGCTATCACATTTCATCTGGCCACCACGCAGTCATTTTGGGTTTAGGTAGTTTACTTACTGCTCAGGGATCTCTTGTGTATAAATTACTCACAATGCTAATTAGAGTGCCAATGACCTATACAGACAATAAGTAGAGGAATTATTTCTTTTAAACTTTTGTTTCAGACAATTCAGACCAGCCTTCATCTTCTTAATGATTATCATACTACAACTACCACAGGCCTACATGCCAATCATCTCCCACAAACTACCCTGAATCAGGCCTCCACTCGTACTACAGATCTCTTTGGAAGTGCCCCAAAACAAGCAAACAACAACCCAATGGCTGATGATTGTCTATTTCTTCAAGTGGAAAAGGACAAACCAACAAATTACGTCAATGTGTCATCTAATCATACTACTGTTGATACAAATCGCCTCTTCCCCAGTGGGACAAAGCCATTGGTATATGGTCCCCCCGGGGAAGGTGTTACATACCCTCCAAACTTTGGCAGACAGCAAAGGGAGTCATTCCAGAATCATGAAGTGTCCCGTCCCATCAACTTACCCCCAACTGATGTATTGACCAACAGCTTTGACCAGACAGATGGACCAACCAAAGGTGGTGGTAGTCCCAGGACACACAGCACCACAGAGCTGACAGGCTATGATGTCCCGAATAAAGCCAGTCTTAACCTGATGAACTTTGAAGACAAAATTTTATATCCTCCGACCAGTGATAAGGTAGGTTTCACACATACCATACGTAGCCTTACTAATTACATTCCTCAAACACCTTTGCCATGTCATGCAAGTTTTTCAGATCTACTTTTATGCATAATGGATAACTTTTCCAAAGTTAGTGATTAGTGTGTGGATCATATTTTAAAAACTGGTAAAGATTAAACAGTTAGGCTGTCAAATTCTGCTTTACTTTAATCACCAATGCTTAAAAATCAATGTATGTCATTATATCATAGTCATGACCCTTATTTCAAGATCAAGGTTAGAATCATATCCTCCAATGTGCTGTGAAACTCTGAGTGGATATATTGCTTTGCAATACTGATGACCTTGTTTCCTGATTATTTAAATTTAGTTTACTTGTTTTGTACATGTATCATTATAAATTTGACTAATACTCAGACTTTCTTTGTTTGCAGACAGATGACCAAGCCGTTGATAAGCTCATCAGCATGCAGGTACGAGCAGATCTGGTCACTGATGGTCCCCCACAGAACGTAGTGAAGTACTTTGAGAACCACCTTCTGCCCATGCTTCAGAAACAGGAGCAGGAAAATAAGGTGACTTCAACCATAGTTACAAAATGTGTCAATAGTACTTAAATACTTACATTTTCAATTAGAAACAGTCTCAATGCTGTAGTCATGGATAACTTTTCAAGATTTTTAGGTCACCTGAGACAAATTAAAGTCTCAAGTGACCTATTGCGATCGCCTTTTGTCCGTCGTGCGTCCGTAAACAATTTACATTTTCAACTTGTTCTCCAAAACCCCTGAACCAATTTCAATGAAATTTTGTAGAAACCTTCCATGGCCAAAGGTCAACCAAAATCGTGAATTATATGGTCCCCAGCCCCCAGGGGCCTGAGGGGCGGGGCCAAAAAAAGGTTGAATTGACTAAAATTTCAAAAATCTTCTTCTCAATACCCAGATATGGTAGAATCAAATACTCTTCATAGATGGAAAGGTCTTAAGGTGATTCATCAAAATTGTGAATTTCTTGACCCTGGTGTCTCACGTTTCCCCCTGGGGAGGGGGTAAACTTTACTATAGTTTATATAGGGAAATCACATTTTGGACCAACATTTGTTTAATTTCCATTGGAAGTAATTCAATTTAGGTTAGCTTTATCAGTATTAGGTAGCAGTTTGATAGTATGCAC